CTCAATTTTCAAGTTTCCTAACATTTTCAAAGTACCAATTTTTAATCGTTTAATTCTCCGAAGTTCCAATTTTCTCACTAATGTCGAAACTACTCTATATCCATCCTGAATATTTTCAGGTATCGCGTATAACTACTTCGAAAACTGACCTCAAAAATCAATTTGGACGACACACCCTGTACATATCCACCGTTTTTCTCGTTCACTCGTAAAATTTTACGCCCGTACATTCCCACTGCGTACGCTAATAAAATAGAATATTTCTCCCGGATTAGAAGCCTATTTCATTTACATTATTAATTATTCGTGACGACAAGAGGATGAACATAGACGCAACGGTGAACGGTTTTCAGCGCAAAACACCGCGAGCGGTACACGTTAGTACGCGTAACGATAATAAATTAACGCCATAAATAATAGCGGAACGATCGTTCGTGCAAGCCTCGTGGAAATCGCCTTCGTTGCCCCCGGTCAGCGGTTTACCGCCAGCGCGTTCCACAGCCTACGTGAAATCTTTCCCGCGAAAAGAAAATCTAAAAGCGATCCGACGGACCACCGTGAACTACGGACGAAAACACCGCCGGGAAAGGGGCGATCGTTCATCGAAACGCGGCCCGAATCGCGTCCGCTTTCCATCAATAAATTAGGGAAATATAATATCTAGAAAGCAATCGGATCCGGCCGATTTATTTCTTCGGATTGTTTCGTAACGCCCCGACGCCGATTAGTTACGATTCCACCGAGAATAGAAACGCGACACGCTCTCGAATAATTAGAGCCTTTTCGAGAGGCCTCGAGGCGATTTTCGTGTATTTGAAAATGCGCGCCGTGAAGAGATTGCTACGGTCGTTTACGCCGCCCGCGGGGGAATTTTTAATTCGTTCGAGGCGACTGTTATACTGTAAAATTAGTTAGTTTATTGGTTTGATACGGTTCGGAGGAAAATTGAAATTTATATTTTGTATTAGCTGTAGCAATAAGTAATCAATTATGTCTTTTTAATTTTTACTTTGCTTCTTGAAGAATTTTAATTTATTTGGTCGAGGGTATCCCGGTTATATCTGTGGCTGTAAGGATAAACGCCGCATGTAAAAATTTCAATAAATTTGAATTTATGCATTAACTGAGCTATAGATTATAGGATTTATGTATTTATCAGCAAAAATGAAAAAGAACTTCATATGCTCAAAAAAGTAATGGAATTTAACCCAAATCCAATATTCAATTCATTGAAAAATACGACGATCACTCGTATCCTTCGTTTGTAATCGCTCTTTATTCTTTATTTCTATTAATCTCCTTATATTATAACTTATTTTTTATAAAATAAAACGATGAAAATTATATTCAATTCTTTCATTTTACCAAAAATAGTATATTATTGCACACGAGTGATACACGAATATGTAACTTGTATTTTAAAAAAAAAACAATGTAATGTACAAAAGACTATTATGCAAAGTGAAGGAAATATACATTTAGATCGTAAATACAAGACAAGGAAATACTGTTAATGAGAAGAATTAGTATTCAGAAATTTAAACGACAATATCTGCAAGGTGAAAGCAGATGACATGTAGCGTTTTTCCTAACACCCACAGATATGGCCGAGGGAACGAAATTAGTTACTATAAAATATAAATAGCGATATCAGTAATATTTCTAGTTATTACATGTAATTAGTGACTTTAACATGTGACGAGATAAAATTTACCCATGTTCATTGGAATACCGAAGACAGCAAAGTACAAAAAACAATTGCAATTTTCTCGATTTTCACTTTTTTGCATAAATATTAAGTATTTATTCAGAATCAGGTACGTCTCACCGACTTTGGTGGCCTTGAAATATGTTGTCAAAGTCATCATTCTGAACAACTTTGTCCTATACATGTTACCACCGCTTGGCCTTAATTTCTGAGATATACGCAAAAATATTTTTATCACTATGTAACTCTTAATACCAAGTATTTAACATGTTTTTGACTTAAATTAAGACTGAGTGGTAAACAATAAATATATTACAACTTATAATTACTAAATTCATTGCTACATATTATAATTAATAATATGTAGTTAGTCGATTACCAAAATTTTCAAAAAAACTGTCCTGAACCAACTCTGAATCACTTTTTTTCTTGAACTGTCTCTAATCAACTCTGAAGTGTTATACTGATCAGAGTTGGTTAGTGACAGTCTTTTCTGAAAATTTTGATAATCGAATAACTGCATTTTTCGAGATGAAGGCTAAAATATTTCGAATTCCATAATATTAACTATAATATATATCAATAAATTTAGTAATTATAAATTGTACTACACATATTTCTTATTAATTACCCTTAATTTAAAAATCTTAACAAATACTTGGTAGTAAAAATACATAGTGATACAAATATTTTGTATTAAGCAATATATTTCAAGATTATAAAAATCGATAAAGTGTACCTGATTCCGAATAATTACCAAATATTATTTAGAGTCTATTCATGTGAAATAGTAAAAATCGACGAAATTGTAGTTGTCCGTTTGTACTTTGCTACGGTCGATACATATTACGAAACTGTATTGTGTTATGATATACTGAATCGTAATATATTATGAAATACATGTTGCATAAAGGTTCATAGGCACCAGGTGAATAATACGATATGATTTGTTATCTATTAGTATAAGATATCTTACTATATCTCAGTTATCAGAGTATATAAATGTATTATGAAAAATAAATACTATCATAACACTGTCAATATTTATAAACTTTAACCGGAGTACAAATATTGATAGTGAAGTGAGTAAACAAACGAGTTAAAAGATACAGAAGTGTATACATGGTGATCTGAAAATAGAGTCACACAATTTAAAACTATAAACTATTTTGTAAATTAACTATAAAGTAGTCATTAAAATAATTAAAAAAATATATCAACACAGGCTCATAAATTAATTCTAAAAGGGGTATAGGCACTTCATTGTTACTTAAATTTCATATATACAGGACACAAAACAGAAAATAAAACTAGTTCAAAAACCTGACTTCTAACGAAACGTCCGTCATCTTTATTTTTGTCTATCTCCGCTAAATTAATTTGCAAATCTACGTTAATAAAACGTTTTCCACTTATTTTCATGAGTAGTACATACCCCTGTATTATTTTACCCTTTTTTCAGACCACCCTGTATGTCCAAAAGAATTCTTAAACACAATTCTTGCAAAAAATAAACATCATAGGGTAAACGAACCAATGAATGAACACATCGATTTCGTAACTATTGAAGTCGAATTTTAAATAATAATGATATTAATAAATATTTGGCATATGAAAATTGGTTTTTTCAATACCTTTTTATAACATACATAGATGTCAATTTGAAAAATCGGAGTAATTGGATATGAAACAAAGAATGGAAAAATATCAATATTTAATCATTTGTACGTGTTCATTTACCGTACATTCATCCCATAAATAAATTTATGATGCACTTGAGTTTAGTTTTTACACTCAGAAACATCAATTCCTTGTTTTTATCACGATTTACTGGATACCCTATATACCATTAATATAAATTATTATTTGAAACTTGAATAATATTTTATATTATGACACTACAAATGTTCCGTATATCAAAGGTGGAAGCAATAACAGTATGTATCTGACATTAAGGGTCACGTCTGACATTACATAGTTGAGGTTACATTACAACAGGAATTACACGCCTCGACAACATAACGCTTAATGTCACAGTCGATCGCATCGATCCCCATTAAAGACAACAGCACTTCCTTCTCTCTGTCTCTCTCTCGGATTCTGACAAAGTGTATAAAGAACATCGACAACTGCAGCGCACTAGATAGTCCGTTAACGAAACCGTGTCACCACTTCTCAGATTAAATCGATCGAGCTAAAGGGTGTTGCAATCTTTACCTGTTTACCGAGAAACATCAAAACAGTTTTCAGATTTTCACCGTCCATCCACGAAACAATTTAAATTTCAAATTTACATTTCGCACGTATAACGAATTTGCACATTCGAATCATTTATGATGATAAATATATTGAGTAAAATGAAAAATGGTACAATATAGGTTACTTAAAAATTAAAAAAAAATAATTGAAGGAATTTACAAAAGTGTTTTTAAAAATGAGTGCAAGTACCTTTGTCCACTGTGCATTTACTCTAAACACCATTCGGATCACAGTCACTTTACGATTCAGAAAATAGACAATTTCAAAAAGGAACGTCTTTCCCGCGTATTTTAAACGTACTCACCAACGAAAATATTACGCCCAATTTGTATCGAAACTCGTTTACAAAATGTGTCCCTCCGATGCAACGGAAATCCAAAATAAGCATGTTAAAAATATTCAAAGATACATCAGTGACTAACATGCAAACAATTACCGTAATGCAAAATGAATTTTAAGAATAGTAAGTAACAATTCTTCCAAGAAGCGGTTAGAAACAATACGCCCCCTATGCACGTGCATTTTATGGTTATTTATCGATCGAATCCGCTTGCTTTACAAACATCGAAGACCAGAAATCGTTTGAACAGTTGTTCGTTTACAAACAAACGTGTATTATCGAAAGAACACCTTACAGTCGAACGAACGATACTTGACCGCGAAATGGCACGATGGAAACTAATTAGAGAAGACGCGAAAGTTTACGAGAGAAATGACATCGCCTGAACGGGAAGCTAATCCGATTCCCCGTTGCGAGGACCGAAGCACCTGCCAATTTAAAGGTTAGTTCACTGGGAAACATCAAACGCGAGCCGCGTGCGGCGCCCCGACTGTCAATCTGACAGCCGCCCCGATATAACGCAATCATCGTTCATCGTACCCTTCTGCCGCATATACAAAGGAATCTCTCGAGTGTACGTGTCGTAATTCCCCTCGTTAAATAACCACGGAAAACATCAGCTTATAGAACGTCTACTATATGTAAAAATACATATACAGACAACATTTATATAGTGATCGTGTTTGCACTCACCAACGAATAGGCAGACGAAGTCTATGATGATCTTCCGTAGCATTATTTTCGACGATCGATCCATGACGACTGGTAAATCACAAAACTAACAAAAACCCTACAGATATGGTTCGGCGGGGGTAATGATCGACCACGATACGCACGCACGAATATACCAATAAGAGTATCACGCGTGAATTAAAGAACGATTACAAGTGGTTTATCGAATAGAAAAAAAGAAGGAACAAGACCATCCCGCGTCACGGTTCGGAATGGACTGAAAGAACACGTCTGCCCGCTCGCTCCGCGAATTTATGTCCGTCTAACGGAACGACCCGACCCGATCGAGATCCGAGCGACAACTGGCCACTGCGGCTGCGCCCGGCCCCCTGTGTACCGCTCTGCGGATCCACGCACGTGCCCGTTCCGCTTGTGCGCTCGCTCCGTACTTTAATAATGACCGCTGGGTCTCTAATGTGGAATAAACACGTATGTAAAGGTGCTTGGGTATATACGAGGACTTTGTAACGCGACATGAATGAATTTTGTGTCTTCGATTGCTGTGCGCAGGATTCGTACCGTTACATTGGGAATGGATAACATATCTCGTTGAATGTCACGAAGATTGTTAAACGGAAAATTTAATTTGCGGAATTGTGTGCCTTTACACGGTGGATGGATCAAAAACTTGTAAGTAAAATTAAAAAAAATATGTATACGTGTACAACTATGTGAATAATTTTCGCAAAAATTAATTTATTTAGAAAGTGTATTAAAAATTAATATGTTTTTTTTATTTTCTGTGGTATAATCTATGTAAATAATTTTCGGAAAGTTTAATTTATTTAGATTCTAAATTTTAGAAAGTGTATTCAAAATTAATACATGTTTTTTTATTTTCTAGGGTATAATCTATGTGAATAATATTGGCGAAAATTAATTTATTTAGAAAGTGTATTCAAAATTAATACGTTTTTTTTTTATTTTCTGTGGTATAATCTATGTAAATAATTTTCAGAAATGTTAATTTATTTAGAAAGTGTATTAAAAATTAATACTTTTTTTTATTTTTCCTGTAAACTTTTGACCAATTTTTGCGTAAATTTGTACATGTGAATTGCGTATAAAAATAGTTCTTAGGCATGTATTTATAGATATTTTTTTTAATACTGTTATGTCTCGTTATACGGCATTTTTTGTTTGTAGAGGATCTAAAATTAACAGGAAAAGTGCTGCGCTGTGATTTTACATCGTGAAAGATGTGAACGCCACAAACCGTACACTTTTTCTAATGGTGTAGGTTATGTTAATACCGTAAAAGAATTTTACAATAATTTGTATCATTTTCGTAACTAAATAGACTTCAGATTTCTTGTTTCAAAGTTACTCAGCGCTGGATCAAGCGAGGGGGGTAAGGGGGGCTGTAGCCCCGGGACCCCTCCTATAAGCCTTCCATTTGGTTATGATTAAATGTTATTTAATTTTATTTAGAATAAATTTCAATTTTTAAAGATTTATGTATTTTATTGTATGTTTTATTAGAAAAATTAGTTACCCCCACTCTGTTTAACCAAAGGGGCCCTAGAAGGTTTGATAGCCCTAAATCCCGAAGATATAATCCAGGCCTAAAATCAATGCAATTTTAAAACTGCTTTTTTCGGAATTTATGTTGACCTACAATATGTTATACAGGGTGTCCCATTTAAATCGACTCACTCGAATATCTCCGAAACTGTTGACGATGTTAAAAAATGTTTCAGACAAAAGTTAAATGGTATCAGAGAGCACGCTTTTTAACGTAATTTTTTTTATGTAAATGTTTAAAAATCATATGAAGGTCAACTGTATTTTTTTAAATGGAATCGTATATTTTTTAATGCATTAATTCGTTATAAGTGATTAGTACTTTATGTAGGGAATAACGAGTAGAATCATGTAGTGCATTAAAAAATATACAATTCTATTTAAAAAAACACAGTTGACCTTCATATAACCTCTAAGCCTCCACATAGAAGACAATTATATCAAAAAGTGTGCCTCCTGGTACAATTTAACTTTTGTCTGAAACATTTTTTATCGTCGTCAACAGTTTCGGAGATATTCAAGTGGGTCGATTTAAATGGAACAACCTGTATATTTTATAATACATTATATTATCGCGTAATACGATAGAATATCATATAATTCAGTATACATTCGGGGCTAGCAGTTTCACTGTCAGTCACTAAAAAAAAGGATGTAAACCAAGAGATTTTAATCAACAAATCTACCATTAAAAAAAATGGTAAAATATCCATGAATGGTTTATGATTACTGTCTTTGGACCCGTTTAATTAACAGGCAAATATTGAAGAAACCTATAGGTTTCAAGAGAGAACAATCGCGATTAGTATGTATCCTGTTAATGGACATCGTGGAATGTTGTTAGTTGAGATTAATGTTTCGCTGGGCAAACGTCCGCGGGGCCCGTCGTTCATAATCTACAGTTTGCTTCGCGGCGAGGAAGAAAGGTAACACGCGCGCCCTTCGAACAATATTTACCCTTACTTCCATATTTTCCTGTATATCTTATCTTCTTTCGCTTCACTGAATGGCCCGACTATTTCCATGACCTGCTATGCGTATTAGCGACCGGTGTTGCCAGATAAGGGATAGCACAGGGTAATGACCTTGCCTTCCAGGCATTCGGAGGGGATCCGGTGCCATCCTGCAGTTTTCATGGAAACTCGCCACTTCCGCAATCTCTGCGGCACTTTCACCCTCGGATTGTTCGGTGTTTAACATTCAAACCGAGACTAGCGTACAATGACGGACACGCAGTTACAAGTGTACCTATTGTCAGGTCTTTTTGTTCTCTATCAGCGTATAGGAAGGACGGATATTCATTTTTCTAGCGTTTAACCATTTAAGTATTTTATTTCATGTTGGGAACATGCACTTGTGTGCTTAATTATTTTTAAGCTGTGACGAGTGTACTCGACAAATGCAGCGTAAATGCACTTGCTGTAAAATTGAAATAAATTTTAATAAAATGACGGAATTACTCTTGTAACTTGAGCGTCATCTATTGTCAAAAAAGGTCACTGCCTTATCAAACGGCCGTCGTACGTATACTGCTGCATATTTTTTTTTTCTCAAGTGATTTTTGTCTTCTTTTATGTGTTTTCAGTTTTTTGACCTAGAATATTTTAAAATGTGTTAAAATTACAAATACGCTTCTTGTTATACCTACATTTTTGCAAATGCACATCTTTTTGTGCTTAATGAGGAGTATACACTAAGATTGGCTATCAAAATTTATTTATATTTCTGTACAATGTCCCTTACACAGTCTTAAAAGTATAAGAAACAAGTGTGTAAAGTGTTAAATTGACCGATTGTGACGCAGGAAAAACTGTGGCAGTTGGGACGCGCCTTAAGATTGGCTATCAAAATAAATTTATATCAAAATTTATTTATATTTCTGTATAATGTTTCTTACATACTCTTAAAAGTATAAGGAAGTATATTTAACGTTTTACATCGACCGATTTTGACACGGGGCAAAAACTGTGGCAATAAGGACAGCGCCTTAAGGTTGGCTATAGCCACCCGTCAAAATTTCATACAGCCGCTTGTGCATAGCAACCATTTCTGGTATCTTCAGGCCTAATCCATCGTATGTCATTTACTACGTGAAACAAACAGATATTTCACCGTTACCATAGTGATCGATTATAATAACAATAATAATAAATCGATTTTATTACCGCCGTAGCAGAAGGGTTAAAAATTATGAATGCTTCTGATTCATCGATTCAATTCCACGCCCTGAATCACTTGCAACACGAACCTGCAAATCTAAGAACGTCGATGAGTCGATACCGCTAACGAAGTAGGTGCTGCAACCAAGCTGTCACCTCGGGTTAACATGAAACAGCCTACGACGTTATAAGGTGAAAATGATCAGTTCATATTCTGAATCAGCGCTCCTGCAAGTTATGCTCCGGAAGTTGGATACCCTCTCACACTTCCACACTGGTTCTGTGTCCTGAAAAAATCAGCAGAATTCCTTATTGATTTAGGAATGAAAGAAACAGTTTGGTACATTTTATAATACTTCGTTTACTTGTTTGTATTATTGATAAGAATATCGCGTGTTGAATGTGGCTGATATTGTGTTGTTATGAACTGTCGAAATGTTTAACAGAGTGGTACAAAATAGGGAATTGTCTATAAATAATTATATTTAAGTTATACATGGTTTTTGCTTTTTTTGATATTAAATTTGTATTGTAAACATATTTAATTTTATTTTTATTTAAGAATCTAATTACAACTATTTCTTTCATTCCTGACTTTAAGTGACCTTGAATGTCACTGTGTCCCTCCCATGTTGGTGAATTCGATTTGTCGTGACAGTAGCGCGCGTGTGATACAAAAAACACATGACATTTCATAAAGAAAGCTAACGGTCGACTTCATTATTCACCAACTATTGTAAATTATTAAAATGGATGTAATTCACCGTGTTGCTTATAGAAAACAGTGCAAAAAATGTTCCTCTTTCATTTTATGGGAACAACTTCCGTTTAGGAGGAAAACGCTGGTTAGTACAATAACAATGTAAACGCCCTGTATATTTCAATTAAAACAATTGATTATTATCATCACACAGTGTTAAGTCAAAATTTAAAATTTTGCGATTCAACTTATGTCGTTTTTGTCAGAATAACGATAAATGACGTCGTTGACATGAAAGACCAATCCAATAATTATAAATATCGCGATTTCATGATTATCATAGAAAGAAGTGCTGTTAACAACTATGTATAAATTCAACATCAGAGCAGAGTGACCGGGGATGATGTAGGAGTTGCAAAAAATTACTGAAGCTCTATTATGAACTGCCTTTGTGGATGGATACTAACTTGGTATAATGGCGATACTTTCTTAGAGGACTTTTCCATAGCTATCCAATTCAATTCCTATACAAAGTGTCCCAGAAGTGGTGGTACAAAGAGAAAAGTGGTGATTCTACATGAAAAATGAAATAAAAAATACACCATAAAATTTTGTGATAACTCGCTTTGTTTTTGAGATAAT